CGTGGCATGTGGGATCTTCCCGGACCGGGGCACGAACCCGTGTCCCCCGCATCGGCAGGCGGACTCTCAACCACTGCACCACCAGGGAAGCCCAACCCTCGGTTTTTCGTCATGTTTTCATTTCATCATGCTCTGTACTTAATGAAGTTTTTTTTTTTCTTTTTTTTCCGATTTTCCGGGCCTCTGTATTATGAAGGAGAAATGAAATATGGTAACATTTGCTTGATCTCTGTTCGCGGACGAGCATAGCCACTCTGTGTAGAAATGAACACAGAAAGTAGAGAAAGGTGGGGAGGAGGAGGGGACAGGCACTGAAAGCCAGGACAGCCTGCCATCTGTGTAGATCACTCTAGAAATCCATCATTACTCAGAATGGAGAAAGGTAGTCTGCGAGTTTGACTTTCACCAGGTGAACCAGAAAAAAATAAACAAAACAGGAACTATAACTAAAAGGCAAAACCCTCTGTTTTTTTGTGATTCTCAGATCTTCCACCTCCCTCCACAAGAGAACGACCTCCCGGGTGTAAGACCGTGTTTGTCGGGGGATTACCAGAAAACGCCACTGAGGAAATCATCCAAGAAGTCTTTGAGCAGTGCGGTGACATCACAGCGATTCGGAAAAGCAAGAAGAATTTTTGTCACATTCGCTTTGCCGAGGAGTTCATGGTTGATAAAGCCATTTACCTTTCTGGTACTTTGCATCACATAAGGGGGTTTTCTCGGTGCTTTGGGATGTTTTGTTACGTTAATATGAGCGTATTCCCTTTTGCCTTAATGCATAATAAAAGTCCTCACAGTTTGGGGCTGGAGAAGGAGGAATTCTACCCTTAGGCTGCCAGAAGCTCCCTGTTAAGTCTGTGAACGCACGTACGTCCCTGCTGCAGACATGGTGTCCCACCATCCAGGCTTTAGGAATTCCATCGAGTTTCTAATTAATGTTCTCAAGTGCTTCTTAGATGAGAAGCAATATTATGAATACTGAGGACCATTATTATTATTGGATGTAATTCTCTGGGGGAATAAAGTCCTCTCTCAGCATAATTTCAGTTTTTCAGAAGTGGTTCACTTTCTAGACACCAGGGCACCAGATCAAGATGAGTGCCTTGCAGACAGTGGTCCCCAGGCCTGAGGAGGAGGCCCAGGAAACCGCCCCGTTGCTAGTGCATTTAGCCTGGCTAAGCCCGCCCCACCATCCCTGCTTCTCTGGTGCCATTTATCAGGGAAATTCTTACAGAGGTTGAAATTAAGCCTCCTGCTGCCTTCCACCCTATGGGTGTTGGAGCAAATGTATGGAGCCTGTCAGCAAGGCCTTTGCCAAATCTAAGCATCGCAGAGCTGGTATTGAAATGTAGCTTTGGAAGGATGTCTTTTTAGATTTAACTCACTGCCATTCCCTCTCTGTCTCCATCTGCATATTTCAGTCTGTCACTCTGCACATCACTTCCCTCTTCCAGAGGCAAAGCTAGCGGGGAAAAGTGGGAAAAGAAGAGGGGAAAAAAATCTGAACATTACTACCAGGTTTACCTAACTCTGCAGTCAGCCCCGATGACCATAAAATTGTCTTGCAAACCCCAGAAGCCTTGGGGTTATTCCAACACTGAAGAGACTTTCCTGAGCTAGATAGTGACCTAGAGAACTTTAAAACCCTTATTCCAATAAAACCTGACAGTGGAAAAGAAAGCCTGAAAGTATTCCAGAATGGAGGTGGACGATAAAACATCAAATAAAAATACAACACTCGGATCTCTCACAAAGTCTTGAGCTACAGCATCAGAGTAATCTATTAGACAACTGGGGATTCTATTGAGTGTATGGCACTGGCTTTCAGTGGCAAGATAACCTCTCTCTGAGCCTCTCCTTTCTCTTCTGCAAAATCGAGATAGTAATAGTGCTACCTCATCGGATTGCTATGCGGAATGAATCAAAATAAGGGATATTAAGTGCCTAGCAGGGCACGTGCAACATGGGAACCATTCAGTAAGTGGTTGTTTTTAACACAAATATCCTGATGATGTTAGAGAAGGAACCCTGCCCTGGGAATTTGGGTTCTAATCACAGCTCCACCAATACAACTATGGCTTTACCCCCACCTGATTAAATGAAAGGGCTACAGTAAATCAAAGGTGTTTTTCAACACTGACATAACATAATGTTTAGACCCAATCAGAAAACTCACAGTACATTGCCAAAAGATGAACAGTTCCAAATTTAGACACATGAAAGTTTCAGATTTATGCCTTGATGCTATATTTTTTTCAAGCTCTGACTACCCCTTGGCATCCCACAGCAAAGGCCTCACCTCCAGCCGACCTGCCTGAGTACACAGGGGTCTCCCAGCTCTGCCTGGGCTCCCCTGGCAAGGTTGCAGCATGGTCCTGGGAAATCTGAAAGGCTGACTGGGAGGGGCAGGAAGGAAGGCAGGCTGCCGCTCTTACGTAAGAGCTCCCGCAAGCCCTAGCCCAGCTGGATGGCCTAATTTTAGGACCACAATCACATTTGAGGGCCAAGCTAATTTTAGACTCAGTCTCATCACGGGCTCTTTTAAGGCCTTAATGATGGTGTTGTGATGAAAGAGAGGGTGATTTTTGGAACCAGAAATGTCTGAAAAGTGATGCTCTGGACATGACCAGGGGAAAGTTGCTTGGCCAGTTGGGACAGCTGGCCAGTCTTAGGCCATTCTGCCTGCTCAGCTGTTATGTATATATCACCACGGCCTGCTGATTTGTTAAATTTCCACAGCCCACAACCAAAATAATACTCTGCTTTAGCATTAATTCTGCTCCTCTGTGATCAGATGTTTGCTTTTTTTTTTCTTTTTGCTTGTGAACACTTTTTTCAAAATTTATTTTCTAACATCTTTATTGGGGTATAATTGCCTTACAATGGTGTGCTAGTGTCTACTGTTTCACAAAGTGAATCAGCTATACGTGTACATACATCCCCAAATCCCCTCCCTCTTGAGATGTTTGCGTTTTTGATAGGTATTGTTATGTCTTCCCAGTTTTAGAGAGACAATACCTTTTAAACCTGGGAGTGAGAAGGTTATAACAGGAATCAGACTTGAGATCTGTTTCACATTTGTAACTTCTCAAAGGTGTGAAGTACCCTACTGGGGAGAAGCCAGCCTCTCCTGGGATTTTTCAGCTGAGTTTCAACCCCAAATGCTAAAATAATCCATTAAAATCTACCACAAGGTCCTGAGCATCAGTGCAGTGCAGCCTAGCATTTCACAGTGGTGTCTCATTTGCAAAGTCCCTGCACAGCAAAAGTGCTTATTTTGCTCTCTCTTCTGGCAGCCCCTGACAGCAGGGATCCTGCTGGGACCTGAATTTATGTTTTTAAAAATCTGAGTACCCCAAACTGAAGAGCAACCTCAAAGCCAAACCTCCTTCCCTTGAAGTTAGTCTGGCGGCCTGGTTTCAGTTCTGTTTGTGTTGATTTCTCAGATCAAGTTTCTGCTTATAATCTTTGTAAGTTGTGTAGCTCACAGTAAATCCCCCAAAGACTTCCAGGCCCATTTTTTTGGTCTAGCTCTGGGCTCTCACACGGGCTCCTGTGGCCTTCAAAGATTGCATGGACAATTTGCGCAGTGCTGCGTGCCAGATGAGGTGCTGGAGGGGCTGTAAGGAAGGCCGCGGTGAGGCCTCTTGATTGAAGGTAAAATATTCTCCTGTGTGCCCCGGAGGATAAGTGGAAATAAAACAGTATTGCAAAATTGCCTTGGTAATTGTGGCTTTTGCAGCTGCCGAGAGAGAATGGAGCAAGCAGCATTTTCTAGGAGAATGAATTAATAGCCTGTGAGTGAGGTGTCACGGAATTTACTTTGTAGATCTTTTTAAATATCATAGATAATATTTATTAACTCACACTCCACCTCTTTCTAAAAAATAAAAGTAAGAGGGCTTATGCAACAGAGTTACAGTAAATTGAAAATATAAAATTGAGGCCATAAAAAGTGGAGGGGAAAAAAAGCTACATGCCCAATATTTTTCTGATCTTCCTGGAAGCCAGAAGGAAGAAGGAGCTAGGATAAGTGCCCTGGTTCTTGAGATCATCCTCTTGGCAACATTGGCTTGAAGACCCCTCCCACTGGAGCGTTTATCCCCAAATCTATAATAGGCGTACCTTGGGCCGCGCTTCCGCTTCCGGATGGCCTCGGAGGGTAACAGCTTCCCACCTCCTATGGGAAGGATGTCCTTTGTAAGGGAAAAAGAAATCAGTGAGAGCTCCCCTGGCGCGCCTTGAGGGCCCGGCCCCGACTGTGACAGTCGTGCGTGACAGTGTTGTGACAGTGTGATGTGACCCGCCTTCCCACTGGTTTCAGGTTACCGGATGCGCTTAGGGTCTAGCACGGACAAAAAGGACTCAGGCCGGCTGCACGTGGACTTCGCCCAGGCCCGGGACGACTTCTACGAGTGGGAGTGCAAGCAGAGGATGCGCGCCCGCGAGGAGCGGCACCGGCGCAAGCTGGAGGAGGACCGGCTGCGGCCGCCCTCGCCGCCGCCCATCATGCACTACTCAGAGCACGAGGCCGCGCTCTTGGCCGAGAAGCTGAAAGGTAGGAGCTGCGCGCGTTTGCTTCCTCCGCCGCCCCGCCGGCCATGGCCCGCCGCCAAGGAAACAGAGTGATCCCCAAGGGCCGGGCCCAGGTCTTTCTCCTGTTCCTTCGCGTGCTGAGTTCATGGGACCGGGGTCCCCCGGGCTTCCTCCTGCTGCCTGGACAGAGCCGTGCCCCTGCCCAGCCCTCTCCCCTGCCTTCTCCCTGAATGTGTGTGTATATATCAACCAAACTCAAGCAGAGGGGGGCAGAAGAGCCCTCCGCACTAGCCCCGTAGCAGGCCACCATCTGACTTCCTACCTCTGTTGAATGAACCAGTGCCTCCTCCTGCAGGCGGGCAGGTCCCGGGGCTCCTCCAGGTCTGTAGTTTGCACCTCTGCTGGCCTCTTAACAAAGGCCCCCACACACACACACAAGGCTCGTCTGCAACCGTGCTGGGGCCCGTGCAGAACAGAAGAGAAATGTAGAATAGGCTCCCTGTCTTTAGAGATGGAGGGGAGGGGACCCTCCTAAGGTCTATGGAAGAATTAGAACTAGAAGTGGGCACGTGTCATTTCTTTGACTGTTTTCTGTGCTCCTCTCCCGGGTTTGAGGCCCTGGGGGATAAAGACAGAGAGACGGAGGCTTTTGTACCTGCCACAGTGAACTACAGATGACTGGGGAGAGGCCAGATTTGGAAGTTAGGATGACATGTGTGTCAGTTCTGATCCATTATTGAGCAGAGTTGTTTCCAGCAACATGGGTGTACTTACAGGCAAGTGATGGTCACACCCTCCTCAGTCTGTTGGGCGTGTCAGGTTTCGATAAAAAAACAGGTCATGGTCGCTGGCCACGATGAACTGTAATACAAAGCCAAGGACATGATTGTCAACCAACATATGAGCAACATGCTTTGGAAACTCACAGACAAGTGTGAGTGGTGTTGATGACAGTGTCAAGAAAGTCTTCACAGAGGAGGCAGAACTTGAACCTTGCAGGATAAACAAGATTTGTTTCCCCAGGAAAAGAAAGGGCCTAAAGACATTCTTGTCAGAGGCTGGAGCTCAGAGAGTAAAGACAGAAGGAGGCAGAGGGGAATTGGGCACAGGCGGAGAAAGGCAAGTCGCCTCCTCGGGGGAACAGAGTGAAGGTGAAGCTGGGAAAGCAGCCTGAGGCCAGATGGTGAAGGCCCGAGGGCTGCCACTGGATTTGGGTTTTATTCTATAAACAATGGAGAAGTCATTAGGAGAGGAGAGATGCGATTGATCCTTGGAGTGTTTTAGAGCATAGTTGGCAGTGTTTAAAGTGGATTGGATGTTTTCACTAAAGGAAATATGAAAAGCTGCCTGAAACCTATTTTAGGAAGATAGGAAGTTGACATTCTGTTTCTTTAAAAAAGCATTTAAGGGCTTCCCTGGTGGCGCAGCGGTTGAGAGTCTGCCAGCCGATGCAGGGGACACGGGTTCGTGCCCCGGTCCGGGAAGATCCCACATGCCGCGGAGCGGCTGGGCCCGTGAGCCATGGCCGCTGAGCCTGCGCGTCCGGAGCCTGTGCTCCGCAACGGGAGAGGCCACAAGCCCCGGGGACCCCAATAAAAAAAAAAAAAAAAAAATTTCTGCTTCTAGCCCTCATCCCCTGCTCCAGCCTTGGGAACCCCTAACCAGATGCAGTTGTCACTGAAACTGTTGACTTGGGGAAAAAAAAAAAGAAAAACACCTCACATTGTAAGAGCTGTGAGTTGAGTTTATTCAGTGTCTTATTGAGGACTCTAGCTCAGGGGACAGCCTCTCAGCTCTGAGGAAATTTTCCAAAGAGGTAACGGAGGAAGTCAGTATATATGTGTTTTTGGTGAAGGGGATGCCTGTACCCAAGCACACATCTTAGGAGAAGGATGCTGCTAGTCACAAGGAACAGATATCTTAATGGCTTTAGTACTTTTCTAAGTATGGGAAGATGCAAGAATTTGGGTTCATAAAAGTTTCTTCTGAAAATATCTACCCATGTGGAAGCCTGTTCTTCCAGTTTCCCCAGAGCACAGAGTGCCGCATTCCTTTTCTCTGCCCTGAATTCCTTTCAGGGTGTGTTGAAGGTCAGCGACTGCAGTGGCTAATGACCTGATCCTTGTAGAAACTTCTTTAGTTGACGTAACCATAGAGCACCTCTTACTGATGCCCTTGGCATAGGCTCCGCTGCTCCGAGAAGGCGTGTCTTACCATCATAGGCTGTGGCTGTCCCTTTAATAAAAAGCACATAAAATGCACATGCAGACGTCCTCACTTTTCCATTCAGACTAGAATCCATAAGGAGTGGGCAGAATGAGAAAGAGCAACATTCTCAAGCAGGAATGTTGATTTTGGAACAAATAATTTTTTCTTTAATATCCAGTACATGGTGTAGTATCACCTCACCTAATGAGCTACATCAGCTAAACTGTATTCGATCGTGTCCACACCTAGAAGTGACAAAAACTAGCACCTTGGCGCCGTGACCCCGTGGAGGAGTTTCAGGAAAGTTTGGCGTCTACGTTAGGTTCTTTTTAAGAAACCAGCACAGAAGTGTCTTTGCGTGTAAGAGTTCCACAGCATTGCCTTTCCTGTTAAAGGATAGCAGATTGGGAAGTCAGTTTGGTAAAGTCATTTGCAAACCTTGCCATTTCAAAACTGTATATTTATATAGATGAGTATAATTTGAAGAATTTAGAAGCTGTACTTTTGCCAAGTACTGTGTGATCCCTTGAGGAGAGAACAGATTGGAAATTTTAATAGATGGCAGTCACAGTAAAATGAGCGAGATGGGGCGACATCTTAGGCAACAGTCAGGTAATATCAAGCATGACAATTTCAACCCAAGCACAGAGTTTGGAGTATAAACAGCATTTAATTGCTTAGGAAATTGGCTGCCTCTGAGAGGAAATCCACTCCATGCTCCTGATAACGCTGCAGAGCCAGACAGCAGGAGCCAGGGAAACTGTTTCCCTGAAGATGATTTCCTTGATGTGGGGATGTAAAACACCATCAAGACCTCAGGTAAAAAAAAAAAGCCCGGATCAGAAAGGAAATGGAAATACAATCTGAAAATACCTAATTGGATTTGACTTTTTTTCCTCCCCTGAGAAATCTTGCTATCTCAGGTTTATTACAAGCATTTTTTTCCCCCATTTTACACCATACTCGTTTAGCCTTACAATTTTCTTGTGGAAAATCAGCTTTATCCAGCAAAATCTGTACTGGCCAAGTCTTTACTATAACCGACAAGGACCTCCATATCCTGCCCGGTGGTAAAACTATGCATACAGTAGATGCTCAGTAAATTAATTCCTGTCTCTCTTTCTTAGCTGTTTGGAACTATGAGCGTGTTGCATTTCCGGCCAGCAGTGCTACCAGGAGTGATGGGAAGTGTAGGGAAGTGCGATGTGCCCTCGGCCATCATTCCACTCACTCCACAAGTATTCGCTGAGCTCTTTGCCATGTCCCTGGCACTGTGATGCCAGGGAAGCAGCACACAAAGCCCCTGCCTCACAGAGTTTAGGTGTAGTTTAGGTTTCTTGAGTGACAGAGGCAGTTACAAAGCTCTTCCCACTATTATGCGTGGGAAGTGCAGCGCGCTAGCCCGGGACTGGTAGGCGACCCAGCCTGGCAGAGGTGGGGTGAGAGAGGGGTGACCTTCTGGGACCCGGTAGCCCCGATCCAGTGGCCCCTGGGTCTTCTGACGTCAGAGGAGACACTGAGTTGTAATGGTGTAGCGTCTGACGCACTGAGCACCCAGTGTCCATTATGGTTAATACAAATTCTAAAAAAGAAAATTAGCGGGCACCCTGCTGATTAAATAGACATTGTTCCGAGACAGTTCAACTTAGTGAAGACTGACTGGGAAGTAACTGCTCACAGATCCAAAGTTTGTAGCACAGCTTTGAGAAAGTGAGAAGCAGCTCAATACCACCATGATTACACTTTATTGGAAACAGTAGCACCAGGCAGATGAGATAATGAATTTCTCTTTGTCTAACACAGACCATCCACCCCTGGAGGAGCCCCCTGTTTGGACTGTGGAAGGGAGAGATTGATTAGACAGTGAGGAAAGATGATCTCCTGATTCACTGGGGATTTCTCCTGGCAAGAGCATTTAAAAGTTCTTGTGTACTTTTTCCCCCTTTGGAAAGCTTCACATAATCTTTCATTATATGATGAATGACAAGTTTCTCTCTGAATCAGGTGAAGTTTTGACAAAGCTTTGCAAGCATTGTCCTTGGGATTCCCTGATATGTCATCCAGGATACAGTCTTCCTGCGATCAGCATTTGTAATTTCTGAGGACTAGTCTCTGATGTGCATACAGAATGGCCCCCGATCAGCCTGCCAGAGGGAGAAACCGCGGAAGTGGTTGCCAGCATCTTGCTGAGATGGTTGTCAATATTTATGGTTCTGAGAAACTAAAAAAATCAATAATGCTCTGAGCCAAGTCGAAGTTCCATTAGCTAGAAGCTAGGCTTCCTTCTCAGGGCAAAGGAAATATGAAGCACGGGAACCTGTTTGAGAATCACGCCCTTGGACGTTACTGACCTTCACAAGGCAAGATAGACCATTTCAACTAGAAACATTTTACCTGATCCAAAAGCAGGAAAAATTAGTGCATGTTTATGTTGTCCCCGCTGAATTTTCTCATTTTCACAGGTACTAAATTATTGGAGAGATTGTGTGTGTGTGTGTGTGTGTGTGTAAGTGAACTTGTAGGTATGTCGAGGGTAGAGGGGGAAGTATTAACATTTATGTAGCCTTTCACACTATTAGTGATTTGAAGGCTAGGTAAGGTACCACCCCTCTTGATGGTTAATTGAGCAGCCAGAGAATGGAGATTTGCTTAGGGATGTCTAAGTTTTAGGTACACATAGTGAAATCTTGGGAATGTTGTAGTATCGGTGCTGTCCTGGAATGTCCATTCTACCTGAATCAGTATGTGACTGTACACTGTAAATTATTTCCACCTATCATAGAAGCTAGAAATCAGGGACAGCTGTATAGACAT